TATTCCTGCTTCTTGGCAGGGGGTTGGACTTGATGGCCCATGAGGTCTCTTCCAACTCTTTGATTCTATGATCAAAGGTATAAACAAACAGTCAATAGATGAAATCACAGAGATATTCTTTCTTTCTCTTTTCCTCCAGGCACTGAATTGACTTTTAACCCCAGAATGGCAGATAAGATTCTGGAATCTTTTCACCCTAACCCTAAGCTGTCATGGGTAGAAAAAAGCAGGTTTTCCCCCTATCTATAGCTTAAGGTTAGTACTGGAGACGAAGCAGTGAAGACTCTCTCTATATCTATATAACTCAATTTCTCAGTAGGCTTTTCTATCTATAATACCTCAATCTTCAATTTCTCAATCAGCTATAACTCAGTCACTCAATCAAGCTTAGCTATCTATAGTATCTTAATAGTCTTAATATCTTAAATCTATATCTCAATATCTCAATAACTATCTTTATCTTTATATCTATTTCTCAATATCTATCTCAATCTTCCTCCCTGGTTCTCAATAGTACTTATAATGATTTTTTCAGAGCTAACCTGACCAACCACCAGCACATCTGAAGTTCCTTCTCTAACCAAAGAGGCAGGGGAGATTCCAAAATGGAGATCTCAAGCCCAGGAGAAGGGGCGGGCTCTAAACCCAAAGAGCTGCTCTCTAGGCCAATAGTTGCAAAGAGGCCTGCAGGCTGGCTTTCCAGCCTCTGAAACTGTTAATTTTCAGAGCTCTTGCAGAGCTGCAGCAGCCCTGGGAGAAAATGCAAGAGGGAGCAACTTCAAGCAACTATAAGGTAAGGCAAACCAGGCTCCTGGGAGACGGAACAAAAATACCAACATGAAAGCAAGCTGCGGCTTAAATTCCTATGTAAAATGTTAATTTGTTTGCTTCATTCAAATACACAATTTCCTCTTAACTGACACAAAATATTTATGTTTTCTTGTCAGTTTACATGTATTATATATAGCTTATTGTGATACACAAGTTTCTTAAACACATCAAGAAGTCAGTAAAACACTAAAAACAAATGTGCCTGCATCAAATGTACACACAGGAATATATCCTAAAGCTCTTCAGTGAGAAGTTTAGTAAAGTATTACAGTAGAGCAGTGGTTCTCCACCTGTGGGCCCCCAGGTGTTTTGGCCTGCAACTCCCAGAAATCCCAACCAGTTTATCAGCTATTAGGATTTCTGGGAGTTGAAGGCCAAAACACCTGGGGACCCACAGGTTGAGAACCACTGCAGTAGAGTCTCACTTATCAAAAATAAACGGGCCAGCAGAACATTGGATAAGCAAGAATGTTGGATAATAAGGAGGGATTAAGGAAAAACTTATTAAATGACAAATTACGTTATGATTTTACAAATTAAGCCCCAAAACATCATGTTTTACAACAAATCAACAAAAAAACCAGGTTATTTTATGTAGTAATTACTGTATTTACGAATTCAGCACCAAAACATCACAATGTATTGAAACAGCTGTGGATCTGGGCGGGAGGCAGACTGCGTTGGATAATAGAGAATGTTGGATGAGCGAAGGTTGGATAAGCTTGACTGTACTGTATATTTAAAAGCTTCTCTATAGTGTATATATCTAAAAGAACTTATTTCATGTAACTTTGATCCTGATTCATTCTGTGCCCTTGCCTAGGGGATCCCTTAAGGTCCTAAATTCTTCGCATGGGTGGCTGAGATAATGACACCTTTGCTTTCCGCTGATTCAATGTACAAAACTTTGTTTCATGCACAAAATCATTAAAGATTACTTCAGGATACGTATATAAGGTGTGTATGAAGTAAAAATGAATTTCACGTTTAGACTTGAGTCCCAACTCAAGATACCATATTATGCATATGCAAGAATTCCAAAATCCCCAAAATATCTCAAGCATGGAAAGCCTCTGGTCCCAGGCACCTTGAATAAAGGATATTTAACTTGTATATCCAAATACATAAATTTCCATAGTAGATATAACCTGTACTCACCCATCATTTAAGATGAGCTTTGATCTTCTGCAGTCTTGGTGCATACTGGATACAGGTGACCATGGCTCTTTTTGGCACTGTGCCTTGTTGCAGAGTGGTGTACTGTCAGAATTGACATACACTATTTTCTAAATAAACAACAAAGAAGGCTATCATAAATTACTCGCATATTTAATAGGTAAAGATAACTAGAAAATTGTTGTCGTTTATTATTAAATCAAGGGCCGCTTCCAGATTTACCATTGTTATGCATTGCAACTCATTTATTTACTTAATATCCTACTTTTCTTCCAATATGGAACACAACACAACATATGACTAATTTATAACTGTAATTCTGAAGTTAGCATTGTATCTTGCATTTAGTTACAAGACCTCTTTCATTTCATACTTTTTAGACCCAATTTGGAACTTCATCAGTCAGAGCTGGGGAAAGCGAGGGAAATCATCTTCTTTCTGTGGCATTCCATTATTAAAGAAGACAGTGAATTTAATTACCTCCATCACACAGGATCGTCTCCTCTCAGCTCAACCATCCACTTAGATGAGACAGGAGGCATTGTTCTTAAGACAGAACCACTTCTTTCCATTCCTTTCCCTCCCAATCCCCTTACTCTCAAAGAAACAGGAGGCATCATTTTAAAGATTGATACCACTTCTTTCCATGGGCTCCTTTCCTTTCCCTCCCAATCTCCTTCCTCTCAAGGAGATAAGAGACATTGTTCTTCAGACGGATACCACTTCTTTCCATGGGCTCCTTTCTTTTCCTTTCACTCCCAATCTCCTTACTCTCAAAGAGACAGAAGGCATTATTCTTAAGACGGACGCCACTTATTTCCATGGGCTTTTTCCCTTCCCATCCCAATCTCCTTACTCTCAATCATGGAAGTCCAAAACCTACTAGCCACTACAATTCAACATGGGATCCCATCCCATGTGTTTCCTTCTGCTTTCTCCCATTTCCATACGAACTGGGAGCTCAGAAGATGCTTTCTAATTGGCTCCAGTTCCCCACGTTTCCCTACACTTCAGAGGCAATTCACAGACGAATCAGCATGGGAGAGAGGCGGAAGTCCCCTTGTGTAGTATGATGGGATCTGTGTTGCTTTGTCTATGAACATTCTGTTTAGTAGTGTCTGCAAATGGGGGGGGGGGGATCTTGTGTGTGATGAAGTTGTTGGTGATAAAGCATAGAAGTTATAGTCTCCAATACTTATACAAAGTAGCTACAGAATTTGATTTTAGCATAACCCTTTTAAAGTGTGGCAAAGGCTCATTCTTTGGGAGTGCTTTGAATGTGATTTTCCTGTTTCTTGGCAGGGGGGTTGGACTGGATGCCCCATGAGGTCTCTTCCAACTATCTATGATTCTATGAAAGTTTTATATGAAAAAAAATCTTTCATAGAAAACCTTTGTTGAGAGTTTGAAATTCATAATCCAGAAGTTGGTGATGAAAAATATGTACAAATTATTTAGCTTGGGTAGTAGAAGCACATTTGTTAAGGTCTTTTATCCAAGATTGCCTCCTAGTTTTTAAATGCTATGCACAACTTTCTAGAGGTGGGCAAAACCGAGGACTGAATCACTATCAATCTTCCTACCACTGAAATTTAATGATGGCTTCTGAATTTACAGCTCCCACCATAATAAATGTGGTGACTTTTTACTGTAATGGCAGAGCAGGAGATTGAATAGCAGCCCCATCAGAACTTCAAGTGAAGGACCCAGACAGATATTCCACGTGGAGCCTGGCAGCTGCAATCCAGAGGACTCTCTCACAAGCTCCCCACTTGTAACCCAGGACTGTGGGGAAAAAACTTTGTTAAATATACTGCATTCAAAACTTACATTGAAATCTCCTGGGTGAAGGTGAGTTTGGCTCTCATTCTTCCGCCTTTTGCTTGATGATATGGAAGATAAGAGGTTGCTACCATTACGCTTGCTAGAAGACACTAAATCCTCACTGGAAAATTTGTGTTTTGATGCATCAGAGAGGGGTGAGACAGGTGACTGAAGCATTTTCTCATTTTTATTTATTGATGTTCCCAAGCTGAAAATGGAAATTGCCATAATGGAAGGTCACAAATGCCAACTCTGAGAAAATAAATGTCTTATATATTATTATAACACATTAGAAACACACTCAGTTTCAGCTTACTGGACCAATGAACCCTGCTTTTTAAAAATTTGGAAACAACCCTACATAATGAAGACAAATCTGGGTTCCATTTCTCCCCCTTTCCCTCTAGGACAGGCTATAACTCTATCTATATATATATAAATGCTCTGTGCCTAATGAGTACCTTAAAAACAAAAGAACCAATGACCGAAATCACACCAAATTTGGCAATAAAACATCTCACTACACAAGGAGTGACAATCACTCAAAAATTATGATTTTGTCATTTGGGAGTTGTAGTTGCTGAGATTTACAGTTCACTTATAATCAAAGAGCATTCTGAACTCCACCAACGATGGAACTGAACCAAACTTTGCATGTTCCAGAGTAGGCAAACCAGACAATCTCCACATCAACACTGACAAAGAAACAGCAAGAAATGCTGTTTACCACAAGCATAAAGAAATTATATATATTAGAAACCAACACTTTCTCATAACTTTATTTTCCAGATCACCAGACTGGGCCACAGCAACGCGTTGCAGGGGACCGCTAGTAATTAATATCTACCTGAGCTACTTGCAATAGAAATTGGAAGTTGCTCATGGTTTCCAAAAGCCAGCTGCAAAATTATATGAAACTCTAAGGAGCAGATTTAGATTACAGAGCTCTATTTTACAATTATAGGTAGCATTTAATAAGACAGTGTGAAAAAACCATGTGCGTACTAAAATAGATAAATGTCCTTACAGGTGGTTGGCTGGGGTTTCCCTGAGTCGCATGACCAAGATGAAATAGTGCTGTTAAGCTAATTTTGCTGTAGGCCCCAAGAAAGAGAAATATATGGGCAGAAGGAGCACAAATACGGAGATGGACAACTGGACACTATGGTTTCTGAGTTTAAGTAGCCATTGTGAATTAAATGAACTTAAGTGTTCTATTGCTTATAGAGCAGGCCTGGACAAACTTCAAAATGGAAGATGTGGATAGTTCCTGTCTCTTTTTTCACAGTGACAATTTTACTAATTTAGGCCTAAATGCCCTAACCAAAATTTTAGTCTAAAAGGGAAAAAGAGGAGTAACTGATTTCAAGACTGATTTCTTTTTTCATGTACTTTTACAGATTTTAATCTATTTATTCAGACACACTGATGGCCGCTATTTAGGCTGCAATTAGACATTCTCTTCGATGGCATCAAAGACTAATAGGATATAGCGGATGGCTGCCTATTCCCTGATAAGAGAGAAGAGATGCTACTTCTACCTTTTGTCATAATTGCTGCAAACCTAGTAGGTCTTGGAACTGGGTGAAAAAGCCATAGCTGTGGGGGCACATGTGTTCCCAGAGGAAGCTTGGGCACCTGTCATGCTTTTCTCCTGCCAAATTCCACGTTGTCAGTTGGGCGGTATTAATAGGGTTATCAGAATGAAAATTGAAGAGGGCCCCTGTACTCCTATAATGGATGTATAGAAGAGGGAATGCCAAGAAAGGCTGCTTATAATACAATCAGGTAATAACAAGTGCCTGCTGAAATTTCTTCCTCTAAATAACTACTACATGCACAGAAAACCTCTCCAGTTTTCAGTTTGGTAGCACCAGTGAAGTAACATCACTGCTTCTGGTCATTAATGGTGGCATGAAAGTGGTGATGCTGGCTGAGGTTGCTATGAGATGAAGGGTCACACATAACTCTTAGACCAGTGCTTCTCAACCTGTGGGTTCCCAGACGTTTTGGCCTACAACTCCCAGAAATCCAAGTCAGTTTTTAGCTGTTAGGATTTCTGGGACTTGAAGGCCACAACATCTGTTGAGAACCAGTGTCCTAGACCAAGGCTTTTGCATTCCAGCACAAAAGAGGAGGCTAAATCCCCTAAAAGAATTTCTTAAGGAAATAAAACTCATGACACTTCCAGATTAAGCTTTAACAATTAATTTATATAGGTTCTGTAAATCTTATATGCCTGTCCCCCACCTCCAAGCACACTAAAGAAGGGAATAAAAAAGGCTTTGAATTGGTAGGGCCACAATTTGTTGATGTGGAAGAAATATACTGAAGTTGACCTGAAAAGAAAATATTGTTTTGCTTGCTGTGATGTTGAGATAAAACAAAGATTTTATTCTTAGCATGAGACTAGCCCCGTCTGATCTAATGATGCAATTTTCTCTCCTATGTATAGGAAGATTGCCTTCCTGTGGTTCAGGCAGCTATAGAGAAATCTGGTTGCTCCTCACAGCAGAAAACATATAATTTACAAAAATGTAAACATGTAAAACAATAGACAATGGTTCTGAAAGAAAGTACAATTTTCTCTCTACTCACTGTGACCTGAATATTCTGATTGGAACAATTTAAGTGCTGGACTATAACCCATAAAAGCTTCTAAATTATGAGTTGTAGCACTTTTGGATTTTAAAGACTAATAAGATAAACTAATGAACACACTGAGACAATCTGTTCAATTAAAATATAGCCTTATAAAATGCAGTATATTTCACCCCATATTTTTTTCTCAACTATATTAAGCACATATTGTGTTCTATGATACTTATAAAGAAGTGAAAAATACTCATAAAACATAATGGTGCAGATAAAAGACATTATGGCAGGCTAAGATGGTGGATAAGACATTCTACTAGCTCTTACGTTTCATTCCAGGCACAGATTTTTTTTCCTTTAGGATACTTTCCATTTTTAAAGCCTGAATATTTGAAGCCGTAAACTTCAAACTACATCAACCACACAAGCTTAATGTCCACTAAACAGATTCTCTAGATCTCTAGAAGAAGTACTTCTGTAGCAAGGGAATTCATTTTCTCAGCACTCAGACAATATATCACACTAGGAAATGCAAATCGTTCTTGCTAGAATATCAGCTGATGAGATAGCTAGTGCCATTAGGATTGCTGTTATGCAGCTTCACAGCTGAGCTAACTCTTCCCCACTAGCCATGGTGACGCCAGTGACAGCAAACACAATTATGTTGTCCTATGTCAGTGAAATTTTTGTGATCTTTTCTTAACATACACATATTAAGCAGGGGATAATAGGCAGATAGGCTATATCTAGCATATGTTGATAACACTGTCAATATTAATAGGCAGCTCAAGGCCTCTGGAAGACTAGAGGACCAAGAATGAGCAAGAACCCCCTAAAAGTAACTCAGCAATGCACGAAATAAATCTTAATTCTGGTGTTATTTCAGTACCACAGGTAAAGCTTCACAAATACTAGTGTATTTACTTGAGTCTATTGCAGACATTTTCGAGTAAATCACTTAACCAAAATTGAGGTGTGTATTAGATCCGATGGTGCATTAGAATTGCATATGCAAACCCACCTATTCCCCTCTGTCAGGCTGGTGAACTTGCCAGCGGGAGCCTGATTGAGAACAGCGGCTTCCCCTTGCCTGTCAGCTTGGCTAACAGACAAGGGGAAACTGTGCCCTTCCATCAGACCACAGCTTCTCAACTGGCCTCCTTCATCCCTCCATTTTAAAAAAAAAAGTTATCTACTTTAAATCCCTGTATTTTATTTATTATTTATTTATTTACAGCATTTCTATGCCACCTTTCTCAGCCCGGAGGTGACTCAAAGCGGCTTACAACTGGCACAGTTTGATGCTACAATGGTCATAAAACACAATTAAAAGCATTTAACACACATTATAAAACTATGTAAAAATCCTTAAAACCATATAATCACCAGTGACCTCCTATTAGCTCATTTTCCAAAAACACTGTGTAAGCTGTTCCATGTTCATTCTTTCCTGGATTCCATATTATTATTATTATTATTATTATTATTATTATTATTATTATTATCTTTATTTGTACCCCGCTAACATCTCCCGAAGGACTCGATGCGGCTTACAATCATCCATAATCATCCATTACACTGCATTTCCAAAGGCTTGTTCAAAGAGCCAGGTTTTTGCTTTTTTTTCAGAATGTCAGTAGGGAGGGGGCTGATCTAATATCCCTAGAGAGGGAGTTCCATAGCCAAGGAGCCACCACTGAGAAGGCCCTGTCTCTCGTCCCCTGTGACAAAGACGGGATCGAGAGCAGGGCCTCCCCGGAAGATCTTAAATTCCTGGCTGATTCATAAGGAGAGATACGTTCGGACAGGTAGGCTGGGATCGGAATCGATTTCTTTCCCAACCCAAAGCACTAAGCAATGTTACTAATTTGAATGCCTTTTTGGCAGCAAATATAAGCCAAGATTTTTCAGATTACTCATGCATGTAACAGAAGACAAATATTTTGAATAGACCCAAATAATTGTAGTTAGCAATTCACACATTCTGATGTATAAATGATACCCATAATATAATTCTACTCCTTTGGATACCATATATTACTTTTACAATGAATTTTAATGGCTGAATTGGCTTTACTACTGCATATTTAACACTGAACTTCAGCGCAGGAGAAAATGATACCTGTTTTTTATCATGTTGCAGTGATTTGATGTAGAGATAACTTGGCTTGGAGCATGTAAATGGGAGGAACATTGTTGTTCAATGTGAATCTTCTTGCTGTCCCTGTTTTCTTCTTCATTTTCATACTAAAATAACAAAAAAAATCTCATCTGAACAGCAGTCACTGACCACAGTACCTCTTATATTTCATTACAGCATGGCACTTTATGAATTAACTATAGATAATATTAACATATTCAGTATTAAGATGTGAATCCCAAATGCTAGTCTCAATCTTAGTAGTTTCATCAATTAATTGACTTTTATAAGTGTTGATGTACTAAATTCCTTCTGATCAGTGAGTCTGTTCTGGACTAGCAAATGGATTTAGTCTGATATTATTTTAATTGATTGCTCACATATCACACATATATGCCAACTATATAAGTTCAACGGTATCACATTAAACTAAACAACACAAGGCCTTTTAATGGATCTTTCAAGGGGAAAGACTAAATCCAGCAAACAGAGAAAGTTCCAAAAAAAGTGGTGCTTTTCTCTATTAGTATCTGTCTTAAAAAAGCTGTTCATTAGAAAATGACTTGGGACTGCACCAGAAATTTGCACTGTAAACTTATACATACATTAACTTATGTGGCATTTTGATTCAGGGCCTAAACTTTTTAAAACTGTATGCTCATGTGTCCTTTCCACACACCTTTTGTTACATACAATTTATGGTATTTCTTTCTCTATTGCTCCTGCTTTCCTTCAGTACAATGCCTTATTATATAATTTTTGCTCAACATGAATATTTTCAGTTTTTGGCTTACAACTGTTGTTTGTGGTTACTTTTATCTGGATTTTGTTTTAAACTTATCTTGTTTATCTTTGTTATCTTTCCCTGGTTTCTGCTGCCTCAGAGAGGTTGCAGAAGAAAGCCCTCCGTGATTTCAAATGGTTTCAGCAAATGTTTAGTCCATGTTTTACCCTATAACATACATAAGTCCCGTTTTACTTTCTCTGCAGGCACCACAAATGGACAACCTCCTTCCAAAGCTTGTCCTGTCCCATATTCAGAACTTGAAAAGTTACTTTTATCTAGCAGTCGTAGGCCAAAAAAGTAACATTTCCATTTTTTGACACAGTCCTGGCAAGGAAAGTCTTGCCGTTGCCCATTCAACCTTTGGGAGATCTTTATTTTTTCTTGCCTGAATGAACAAAGAGATAACTGAGCTTATTATTCATGCATTGTTTACCCTGCATCAGCCACTGTAGGCTACAGTTGGAAAGGCAAAGAGCAGGGGTTAACAGCTACTGTTACGTCCCCTTTATTTACAGAACATTGATAAGTACACCTGTATCTTCTGTTTATTTGGCTCCAGATAGGGCTGAATCAACAAGGCAATTTTCTCCAATGTTTCTCCTAACTTGAAAGAAGATGCTTTGTTTTGGTTATGTTTGGGTGAGGTGGGGGTTAATCCAATTATTCTTGGGAGGGCAGAGTCAGAACAACATTTAGTCATGGACAAAGTTATTAGAAAGTGGTCTCCTTAATTATTAATACATATGGATAAGGCACCAGCCAGCTATGCAGTAATGTAAACACTAGGGCTGTGTAAAAAAAATTGTAAGAGGTTCGTAAATCTTAAGTGTTTTGTTAAATCTGTACATACGACCCAATTTACGACCTCCAGAGTCACCCCCCCCAACCCAAATCAAAATACCCACTTCTGAGTTTTCGTAAAGAAGTTGGTTTGCTTCCTATGCCTTATTTCTCTCTCTGTCTGCCTCCCTCTCCCTCCTTGTGCCCTTGCGGTGGTGGCAGAACCTGCTTGCATAAAGCCAGGCGGTGGATGAAGAAGAGCTGCTCCAACCCTAGCAGGTCCTCCCCCTCCACCAAGTATAGTTTAGCTCTTTTTAAAATAACAAACAGAAAAAAAATGAATTTCTCATCACTTCCTATCAGATATGACTTGGACTCCTTAGGAATTGTTCAAAACACTTTATAATCAAAATGGGGGTTGCATGAATTTCATAAATACAAATAAAGTGAATTTTTAGAGCTGTGCACACCTCTAGTAAACACTGAGAATAAATTGTGATTGACCGTAGTGGCAATTATCCAGTGTGGAACATTTAAAAGGGATAACAATTTGTTAAGCAGGAACAGGCACAGCAAACAAGATGCATGCTTATGTGTGTCTGTATCAGAAGTGAGAAAATTAAATTCCTTCTCCAGAGGCCCATGTTCCTTTTCAATGATTTTTGTGTCCCCCCCCCCCAAATATCCTAAATGTTAACATTGGAGTGAAATTGTGAAATTAATTAGGACTTATTTCAATTTATTTTCATATAGACTTCTGCCTAGCATTAAACTTTTGTCACTTTACAAACCCAATCTATTCTAGCTGTGGGCCCACTTATTTTAACCCTTTTGCATGCAGTATTGGAATCTAAATCCAGTACACAGCCTTTTAAAATTCAATGTAGGCCAAAAACTTACCTTACGCTTCCTTCTAGATTTTGGGATAACCTTTTCTGCTGATAGGTCTGGGGCAATGTTATGCTGCATACCAATGGCTTCTTTACTACCAGGGTTCATTAGCAGCGGCTCCTCGGATAAGCGTTGAGGAACTCTGGATAAAAGAGTCAAATCAATTTTGACCCAAAGTGCTTTCACTTCATCAGTGTCTTTCAAAGGAGACAGGAGTTCATTCCTGCCAAACGGAACAAGTGTATAAAACTGTTCATCCAGTTCCTTTGCTATATCGTTACTAGTCCGGGTGTTAACTGAACCAAAGGCGCCACAGCTGTTTCCTTTGCTGGTATTGATACTTCCAGAGTCTTTTAATTTCTGGTCACTTCCAACTGGTACTGAGGCCACAACGTAAGGCTTGTGTACAGGATACTCCTCTTGCTCAGACTGTGAATCTGTATCTGAAGACGTTGAAGATGAAGATTCTGTCTCAATAAATTCCTTGGATTTAGGTGCGGTTTTACCTGACCCTCTTGTGCGTCTTTTTTCACAGGGAGCAACACACCGTGGTTCTTTTCTGTGCTCGGCTTTGCTGGCACAGGGCTTAGGTTTAGGTTGTTCACAAAGGGTATTATTTTCCAAAGGTACTCTGTTCAAGTCAGGATTGTCAGCTGCATAGCTGTTTAAATTGTCACCACCAGAGGTCCTCTCTGTCTTTCTGAGCTGTTTTCTACATCCTGTCCTTCTCAGAGGACCACTGTCTACAGAAACTGTAGTGGCCGAGGAAGGTGGTTTTTGCTTTGCTCCTTTATGCCCTGGGGCTTTATTAGCTGTTCTAGGGCTCAGTTCCTCCTTGGTGGGATTCTTAACCTCTTTATCTCTGAGATTGGTTTGGCAAACAGAAGATAGGCTATCACAGTTGTGCCCTTGGTCTTTCGTTTTGCAGTAATACTGAAAGCTTTCCAGTCCGTTGTGATTCAAAATAGGTGCTTTGTGAGGATTAACCTTATTTAACCATTTATCCAACTGCCACTTGTTTGATGATGGCTGTTCATGCTGGAAAATAAGAGTTTTAAACCACCAGCATATCATAAAACTGAGTTTTACAAATTATTATAAACTTCAGGTCATTGCATAAAACTGTTAACATCATCACACAATTCTAAATTAATGTAATCTCCTAAGGTTGCATAATGCAAGCTGCTGTTCAGACATCTACCAGCATGCCAATGCCTTAAATTAAGAAATAGTTTTTTAAGATCTACAGAGATACTTGCAGGAACACCTCAGCAAGTGAGAGTCCAAAAGTGGCAGGCTAAAACCCAGAACCTCAATCAATGGCTGATACCAAATGAGAGTCTCTCTCCTGGGCACACAGAAAACTGGGCAACTTGGAAGGCGCTGAACAGAATGCGCTCTGGCACCATGCGATGCAGAGCCAACCTTAAGAAATGGAGTCCACAACATGCGAGTACGGAGAAAAGCAAACCACAGACCACCTAATACAATGCAGCCTGAGCCATGTCACATGCACAATGGAGGACCTTCTTATAGCAACACCAGAGGCATTCCAAGTGGCCAGCTACTGGTCAAAAGGCATTTAGTATAAAGCAAAGGTTTTTTTTTTAACTTTGTGTTCTTAAATACATTACAATTGTACTCTGGTTTGCTTCTGATATGATAAATAAAAAAATCACCTAAGAACATTATTTGTTTTGTTGGACTAGACTAAAAGCTCAAACTCTGGGAAGCAAGATTTCTGACATTAACAAACAAGCCTATTTGAACTAGGGCCTTGAAATTTACTTTATATACTTTCCCCCATTATAGTGTTTAAAAAGTTTTTGTTAATTGGTTGTTTTTGTTGTTATGTGCTCTCAAGTCATCCCTGACTTCCAGGGTTCCTTGGAAAGGTTTATTGAGAGGAACTTAGTCATTGCCCTCCCTTAGGATTGAGAGATTGTCACCCAATGGATTTCCATGGCCTGATGAGGATTCAAACCATGGTCTCCTGGTGCTAATATGGGAACAATAATTAAGAAAGTCCTCTCGTTACTTTTCTATTACTTTGTTACTTTTTTTGTGGGAGAAAAATAGTATAATGGATATAAAAATGACAACAACCCATACTTTCCTATCAAAATTCCTGTAAAATATTCTGAAAAGCAACTTCTGAAAAATAAGCAGCCTTGTTACTTGATACACTAGTGATATAACTTGTTCTGATTGTACCTGTATTAGCATGTGCCAGACTGTGCACACACAAACATTCAAAGTCTTCTTTGTTATCAATTATAAAAGCCACTTAATTTAGAGACCTCGGGCTATATTGTAATTGTGACTTTTCTGAGAGAAGAATATTTCAATATAAAAGCTTATGTTTCTTCTACTGAGCGCAATGCGCATGACAAAAACTTGTCATGTGGAGGAAAGTTTAATTTATTTGAAAACTAACTTTTTTATTGCTGGCATTTTAACTGAGGTGCAGAAATCTTTACCTCTGGGCTGGAGTAATGAGGGGGCTTGTTGCAGTCACTCTCTCCAGAGCTGCTTTCACTCTCTGAGTCAGATTCTGAGCTGCTTTCGGATTCACTGGAGCTGGTGCTGCTTGAACGCTTGCTGGGTATTCCAGAGATTCTGCAGTTCGGCTGTTGCACTGAAGTGCTGTCAGACCCATGGAGAAATGGGGAAAGAGAGAGGGAACACACAATGTGAATAAACACACATTTCAATCACTGCTTCTAGCAACATATTCAGGTGGGAATATTTGCCTTGGGAACCAAATCAGGGCCATCGATGAGCAAAAAGGAAGCAGTTCATTAGCATGCCCAGGTAAACCTCAAGGTTTGCAGGTATATAATACAATCCCCCATATCTGTGCAGAATACATTGCTGGACTTATGGAAATGCAAAACTGTGAATAATAAGAAACCCTACTGAAGTGAATAACTTCTGGCCCACGGTAACATTTTTTTTTGCATGTGAGTAAGTGAAACTCCAGGTACTCGTTTCCCAGAAACATACAGTACAAACTAATGCAAGCATTCATCTCCTCTCCTAAAGCTGGGCAGAGCAAAGAGGTCTGAGCATTGCAAAAAGTGTAGACATACACAGTCCGAAGAAGGAGAAGGAGAAGGAGAAGGAGAAGGAGAAGGAGAAGGAGAAGGAGAAGGAGAAGGAGAAGGAGAAGGAGAAGAAGAAGAAGAAGAAGAAGAAGAAGAAGAAGAAGAAGAAGAAGAAGAAGAAGAAGAAATCCATATATTGCTCCAGGGAAATCTCTGAGAAATCCAGGTAGTATAAATTCAGTTGCATTGTTTTGAAATCATACACACTTTCCGCACCTCTATTATCATCTAATTTTATCTATGATACTTTGTAGGTGACTTCAGACTATACTTATTCACTTATTCATTGGGTTGCTGTGAGTTTTCCAAGCTGAATGGCCATGTTCCAGAAGCATTCTCCCCTGATGTTTTGCCCACATCTATGGCAGGCATCCTCAGAGGTTATGAGGTCTGTTGGAAACTAGGCAAGTGAGATTTAACATGGTATTCTAACAACTACCATGTCAGAATACACAAAAAAGCCATTGAAATCCATAAGCATGTGGACAATTTCAACAGAAAGGAGGAAACCATGAAAATGAACAAAATCTGGCTCCTAGTATTTAAAAAACTCTAAAATCAGGACTGTAAATAAAAAGCAACACTCAGAAAATGGGAATTCCAGACAAGAATCAATCTGGGCCAGCTAACACCTCCTGGTGACTTGGAAGGCGCTGAACAGACTGTGCTCTGACACCACGAAATGCAGAGCCAACCTTAAGAAATGGGGCCACAAAGTGGAGTCCACAACAGGCGAGTGTGGAGAAGAGCAAACCACAGACCACCTATTGCAATGCAGTCTGAGCCAAATGCACAATGGAGAATCTTCTTATAGCAACACCAAAGGCACTCCAAGTGGCCAGCTACTGGTCGGGGTATGATGCCAAGTTTTTAAAAACTTTGTTGGTGTTTTCAAATACATAATCTCTACCCTTGGTTTGCTTCTGATACGATAAATAAATAACCTCCCAAAAAGGGATCCCCCAGGCAGGAATCAGCCAGACCTTGAAGCTGCAAGGCCTTTCAATGCTAATCAAGGTGTCCAATTGCAACATTTATACTTGCCTCAAACAGACAAGAGATCTTTCTCCCACCCTGGACATTCCACGGATATATAAAACCCACTTGCCTAGTTTTTAACAGACCTCACATCTCTGAGGATGCCTGTCATAAATGTTGGCCAAACGTCAGGAGAGAATGCTTCTGGAACATAGCCATACAGCTTGGGAAACTCACAGCAACCCAGTGATTCCGGCCATCAAAGCCTTCAACAACACACTGATTCATTGTTCCATATACTTTTAAAACCCTTTTGTAAGAATGTAACATAAAAATCTGCTCTTGAGATGGTAACTAGAATTGAAAAGCTTTATTGTCATTGTACTATTGCACAACAAAATTAAATGCCTTCACTTGCACACATCACAAAAACAGTACACCCATCCCTCCATACCCCAACCACCACCACACAGCCCCCAATGCCACATCAATGCTATAGTTTCATTAACTATCTAACCTCTCTCTCAACCCCTTCTTGACATAGGAAGACTAGCTGCCTTATAGCAGGTCAAATTATTTCCCTATCTGTTTCTAGTACTGTGTACCCTGATAGGCAGAAGATATCCAGCACCCCAGTCATACATTTACATTACTGGACACCTGATCCTTTAAAAGAAATCTGTATTTCCCAGCGATTGAACCTGGGATCTTTTGTATGCAAAGCATGTGCTCTGTCACAGACGCTGTTCCCTTCAGCTGAGGTGATGAGAATAATGCAGCACTCAAATGAATGCTATTCAGGAGCATTCACTTCTCACTCTGCTTTTGTGGTGAGGTTTATGTGTACAGATGTAGGGGAAAGTACATGCAATAGTCCAAGACTTGTATCAAGTTGAAAATGCTTTCTGGAGCATAGACAGTGAGCAACTTATGAATAAATTCTCAAACTGACATATCAAGTGGTTTTTTTTTTTTTTGCCCTGTGCTATTTCAGATCTTTAAAATAACTTTCAAAATACCCTGGTAGGAAAAATCACTCATCTGGATAACAGGTGAGTAGCTGTCCATTTGATGTTCTTATCGGGGGAGAAGAAAGAAGATGATGGCAATGATTTACTAGAGAATATTGTTCTTTTTTCAATAAGCCCTAAAACCTGTTCTCCTTTTCATCATCTCTGCATTTGGTCTTCCTTGCTTTTGAATTCTGCCACACAAAGGGACTAAATAAATTCATTCATCCTAAGTATTTTGTTGTAATCTGGCAATGAAAACATTATCACCCTGCCAGGACTTGGATGTAAATTCGATCTTCATTCATGAGCAATTCTTCTGTAGTCAAACAGCTTGAATTTATATGTTTCCTAGGCAAGTGCTGGATCAATGACTTAATATTTCACTATGTTCCTATAATCCTGGATATCTAAAAGAAAGTGACCAGCTAAATTTTTCAATTGATTTCCTGGCAGTTAAATAGCATTCCCTGCCATATAGCTCACAACTTGTACAGCTTTTAAATTACTCAAACAAGGAGGTCTCTCTCCTTTCCCGGGGGATAATTTTCTATGCTTAATTCATATCATTGTTAAGAGATGCCTCTAATATTTAGCATCAGTGCCTTCATATTATATATGGCTCTCATTTTCTTCCAGTGCTCACGTATTCCAACAACACAATCCTAAATCTTTTCTTGGCTAATGGTAAAAATCTTTGAGATTTGTAGAGTGTTCTGCCCTTTACACATTAATCCTAAACACATTTACCTGTCTCATTTATTTCAAAGAGGTATCTTGGAAATAAATATCTTTTCAATTGTTGTATTTATTGTTATGGCTCCAGCCAAAATATATATGTCAAGATCTTCATGTGACTGCACTAATTCTCAGGCTCTTTCTACACTGCCATATAATACAGATTACTAAAGAAGATAATAACATTATCTGCCTTGAACTGGATTATATGAGTCTACACTAGAAGGGACCTCATTGACTCATGTATAGGCTCTGTTGACTTATTCCACTTTAGTATGAGTTACACAAAATTGCATTAACCTTTTGCCCAGTGACCCCATTTTAGCATCACTGAGGCCCCACTGCCAAATAAAATCCAGATTATATGCTTTGAACTGGATTATATAGCAGTGTAGATAGGCTGGATTTTATATGGCAGTGTTAGTTCAATTTCTTAACTAACATAGAGTAATCATGCATTTTCCAATGGCTGTTATTGAAACTCAGAAGATACCAGCCACAAATGCTGGTGAACTTCAGGAGATAATGCTGCTAGAACATGGCATACAGCCAAAAAAACTCATAGCAACCCTGTATGGGTTTCTGTTTGTTCTGATATGATGTATTTTATTGTTTTCCTTATATATCCATTCACACATCAAAATAATACATTTCTGAAGTTATTTGACGTTCTTTCATAAAACACTATTATTATTTACTCCAAATCCATGCCATGCAGAAATACACAACTCAAACACTTGCAAGAGATAGCTTTCTAGCTTCTGCTTAAAGACTTCTAAAGAGTCCATCACCTTCTGAAGCAAACAGAAGTTACACTGAAAACATTCTTCCTAGTGTTTCTATATAATCTCTTTTCTTGTAATTTATGATTGAGTTCCTGGTCCAGACTTTGATGCAGCAGAAGACAAGATTGCTCCAACTTGTACACGATACCCAATTACTTTTATTTTTAATACCAATTTTGCAGTTTTGTCAATAAATAACAAAAAAGCAAGTTTAACTGTGAAATACTAAATAAACACAAAACAGGGGAGGGAGAGTGACAGAAGAGAAGAATCCCACCCTGACATCATTTTGGCACAGATGCCAAACAGACCCATCACACAGAACTAGAATCCTCAATTCTCACACTGCGAACTGATTCACTAGTTCCCTCCAACTGAGCTTGTGGTACTGGCAAATAGCATCTAAACACTGTATAAGCAAATGTACACAATAAAGCAAATGTACACCCATCTCTTTGCCTCTAGAATGGAGGTAACAGCAAATGTGGTTGTAATTTTGCTCTTAAATTAAAGGCACACTTTATACATAAAATGCAGGAAAGTGTTATTAGGACTATGGAACATATCCATTTTGGCCTCTTTTTTCTTTTCACAGTAAGTGCAAGATAAGAATGAACTGTGCCCTTGCGGTAGTTAAGCATAATTCGTAAGGCAATGCAGCTTAATTTGAAGAATGTTGCCTTAATTCCCAGTGGTTTCACTGAGAGATTGCTAAAGTGCCATTTTGACTTGTAAACTTCCTGTACAGCATGGCTGCCAAGTTCTTTCCAGATGAATGCTCCTGAATTTTAATAGGTATGGGCAAGAAGAAATGGGAGTACAAGATTTCAGCATATATACCTTTCTCTCACACAGTGCTACAAGAAGTGGCAAGTGTCAAAATTACCAGCAAAAATTTGGTCTTGGAAGTCTTACCGATGTCTGGGAACCCCAAAGAAAAATTGATAATTGAATGTTGATTTCATTCATTCTCTATTTTTCTACCTTATATGTTACTGGAAATGGGAACTTTGATGAATGAGACTTTT